AGAAGTACTGCACTCAAATCAAATTTCCAGACGTTGACTCTACAGCGCGTCAGATGATCGGTCAGCGCGAAACGCAGATATACATATGTATGAATAAATAAATAAATAAATAAATAGACAAATAAATAAAATATATATGTGTAGTTTTGCGAGTTTTACATGTATTTCCAGCGTTTCGAGCTCCTGTCTGTCTAAGTATCCCATGATATCCAACTTCCATAACTTGAACAGAATGTCTAATTTGTTAGTTTTTATCGGTGTATTGGAGTGAATTCGTATGCAGAAAAAATTTTCAAGATTATTTTTAATGGTTTGATGTCGCATTATAGTAAATAGGCTATTTATGTTAGTTGGCGTTTATTTTTTTCCGTTGTTAGCTGCCCCTAAATTTTCTTTTATTAGGACCTTTTGTGCTTTGAATAGTGAGTAGAAAGAAATAGCAAATAAGCGCTAACTCACTTTGAAAGATAACTCAATCAAATGCAAACCTACAGTAATTCACAAAACAATTCTTCTTATTCTGTACTTTGTCAGAGATAAAAATGCAGGAAAGTGGTTACTCTCGAAGTATGAACTCTATCTTATATTCAATTGCAACTTCTGCATGATCAGACTTGTTGAACATGTCAAGAAACTACCACTATAAATGGCGCTGTAGCGACTGATACAGTCTGTTCCACAAGTATTGACACGCGGGAATGTGCGGTACGTAGCAGCGCAGATGCGCGACGCTGCAGCGGCAGCCCTCAACCAGCGAAGATTCTGACTGCAGCAAGGGAAGGCAGAAGGAGACAAATCTCGAAAACGTTCGCAGGTTCTTAGCCCTTCCACTCGTTCTCCCGCATTTCTTTTTAGACTACATGCAAAGGGCTCTCTGATCCTGCTTACGCAATAAGCGCCATAGGAGTTGGCACGACGTTGTATATAGCAACGAACTTTTTTTCGCATTTTGTTGCCTTCTATCGTCATGCGGTGGTACCGTACTCGCAATCTCAGGCTGTGGTCTTTGGCAGTTTTGCTGTTATGGACCATCACATTCGTTGATTGCAAAAGGAACAGATGTCAAGAAGAAATTTTCTGTTTCAGGTACAGGTAATCCAGACTGAAACACTGATCAAAAGCAAAAAAGAAAATTTATGGAACAAACTAGCTTAAGATAAATGGCGATCAGCGAGGAGATGTCCAATACTGAGCAGGGGGTCTTGACCGTGTCAGAGATAAGTTTCCGGGAAAATGATCTTGGTAAAATCTTCACTGTAAAAAAGACGAAAGTTATAAATTTGGTGGTACTATTTAATTACAAAATAGAATAATACTCTCAAAAGATTCAAAAAAAATTATTTATTCTTCTAAGAAAAACAGAGTACTAAGGTTAAATTATAATATTAAACTTGTGATAAGTCAAGAGACTTCTTTGATGCAAACTTGGGAGTACTGCAGAATTTGAGCAGAAAGTGATTCGATCGAT